CTAAGGGAGTATTGTGATTTGAGAGGGCTGGTGGTCAGTTTTTCATTGAATTCTACAAATTCATCATAGGCCCACAGTCTGTAGCACATTTTCCGTCTTGATGAGTGGTAGACCGTAAAGCTGAAGTAGCAGAAGTTACGAATTGACAAGCTGAACGTGGAAGGTCGGAATAAATTTGGGCTTTCAGTATGATGGCATGACTAATGCAGAGTGATGATTTCCTTTTTTTTTTATTCTGGTGGAAAATTGAAGGTGAAAAGATTAGAATAAAAGGCATGACAGGTATATTAGTCCATACCAGCTATTTTTAAGATTTGATTGCTCTGATGATGCTTTTTGTTATTTGTTGTAAGACTGCTGGTGTAGGGAAGAGGGGGAAGAATTTTTGTGTGAGGGGTTGGGAGAGGAGGGGGGAAGGGACAAGGAGAGTGCATTAGGATGGTTTGCACAGCTGTAGTAAGACCCCTTTTGTTGCCATATTATTACGCAATTTAGGAATTTTTTTCGTAACCTTCCAAAAATATGCAGATGATACTTCATTAGTATTTTTTTTGACCAGTGTTTGTTTTTGGTTTGATGATTAAGGGGAAAAAAATTTAAAATTGGTTATATGTGGTTGCATTAGATTGGTTTATTGCATCTTAGACTAAGATCTTAATCAAGCTGCGTTTGACTTTATCTGGTAGTTTTGAGAAATAACAAGTTTTTATGAATAGTATCACGCGATATTTTTATATTTTCCTATTTGGTTTTTTGTTGTTGCAAGAATTTATTTTTGAAATTAATCATTTATTTTTCTTTGCTTACAAGATAAAGAAAGCTAGGAAAATATTGATATATTGAATTTTAGATGGTTGGGGGAAATGGGGAGTTTATATTTATTTAAAGCCTTACAGTTACTCATCTTGCCGAATAATAACTTGTGTTTTACAACTTGAACTCTACTTCAAACACTGCAAAATTAAGCCGCATCAGAACTGTTTTAGAAGCTGCTAGTTATCATTGTTTCCAATTTTTAATGTAATTCTAGTTAAGTGGGATGTTTGATGGGTATTGGTATTTGAAATTACTATATGCTGCTGTAGTTGTTGAGTTTTTCACTGCTCATTTTTGAAGGGGCTGTTGTCCAGTGATATATCTAACCAAGTTGAAAGGTTGAATTCTTTGACCGGCATCAACAATTTTCATTTTTGGGCACAGCAATAGAGATGACTGAGTGAAATTATTTACTTAAATGTCATTCAGTGGGAGTCAATTGGATAGTATTGAGTAGCGTTTTTGAACGGTACAGTCATCTTCATCTATCTGGTCAGCAGTCATTTACCAAAAACAGTTTACACATTTATGAAGTTGTGCTCGGCTTTTCTAACCTTCTGAATAGGCCAGATTTGCCTCCTGTATCTGCCAACAATACAAACTGTATATGAGGTTCATAATAATGTCGCAAATAATAGTGGCATCATTGAAAGTGGTTTAATGGGTAGGAAACGGGGAAAATTTTTTTTTTTTGTTATTTCGCTGTTGAAATTCTTTAGTTTGTTTGACAGTATTTTTCTACGTGGAAGCAACTTTACTTAAACGCTAGTTGTCTTATGTACAAAATAAGAAATTTAAAATTGCCCGCTTGTTTTCTTTCCCTGCATTTTGCTAGCGATCTGTTTATTTGGCGTTGGATGAGTGATAAACCTTTTGGAAAAATAAACAATCTTTGAAGTGATTTGGAAGCAGCAATCGGTTATATATCCTTATCTGAGTTAGGTTGTAAGTTCTCATCTAATTGTTATTGCCATTAAGGAGAGTAAGCAAAAAAATCAATTTGTCATTCCAACGGTAGAGAGATGAAAAAGCAAATAATGATGATGAAATATAATGGCGGAGATGGTGAGGATGGTGATGGTAATGACGAAGACGACGATGTACTTAATAAGCGTTTAATTGATGCTTTTTTGAATCTTATTCGTGAAAATTAGGTTTGTTTAATATATGGAGACGAAAACGTTTACGGGTTTTTGTGTATCAGTGATTGCACCAAAAATATAAATGTTTTGAAGCTGAAATTCAAAAGAATCCAATGAGTTACTGGAAGCAGAAGAAGAAAGCATCACTGTTCAGAAACGTTTCATTAATGCATATTCTATTTAAGTGCTTTTTGTTATAATACTAGTCTGTTGCAGTCAGAAGCACTACTATTGCCCACATTAATTTCTTTTCTTTAGATTTATTCGGTGTCTATTCTTAATTGTTTGCAAATCTGATATTCATAACAATCACTGAAAGAGGAAAATCATAACTGGATGACGCAGTTAGTCGAAGGCTTCCCATGATAGTCGAAAAAAAGCAGATGGAATTTGGTTGTCGTTAATAGTTATTGTTTTCAAATGAGCGAAAGGGATGGGAAGAGGGGATGAGAAGGAGGGTGAGGAAGAAGAGCCGATAGAAAACAGGAAATACGGCAGGATTGTTCATCAATTAGTTATGGTTTTAAGAGTGCAGTCATATGAACGGGACATCAAATAAATATGAAGAAAACAAAGAAAAAAAGTAAAAAGGGAGAAAAGTTTCCAAAAATATGATGAATGTTAGTTTTTGAAAAGAAAAACGGTTAAAAAAAATGAAATTTTTTTAGCTGTCAATTTTTTTCTCTTTTTAAACCCTTTCATCTTTACCGCAACTGTTTCTGGAATTAAATATGCGTTCTATAATGACTGTTGTCGTTTCTTAGGCAGTTGTTCAAATAATTCAAAGAATATTTAAATTATCTGAAAAACTTACCCAATTTGCAAACAGATTTATCGTTCATTGAAATCTGTAGAACAGGAAAGAATTGGAAGTGCTGTTTTTTTTTCCCCTGTCAGACCCTATTGTGTTTTTATGTGTGCTTTTCTTGTTCGTGATTGAAATTTGAAATTGTTTATAAATAAAGGAAAAAAGTGAAAGTAAAAAAATGAAAAGTAAAAGAAAATTTATTTGCTTCCTTGAGCGATTCTGAATTTTACATATGATTATTAACGCTTGGACAGGGAAGGGGACGGAGAGGAAAAAAGAGAAAATGGAGGAGGGGAAGGGAGGACTAGCTAAGCTATATGGGAAAGTAAATGAGGATTAAATGTCCGGACATAAATGGCTGAGAAATTGAGGATATAGGAATTGAAGGCAGAAATTTTAAGAGTTTTTATCTTTATTGAATTCTTTTTATCTACATTTTCTTCATCTTATCTTTCTGCTATCTGGTGGGACTTTTATTTGTGATATTTTGTAGTAATTACCACGGACAAGTTTAACATAGTTTCACTCGGTAAGTCTCTCTGAACGAATTTCACAGGCGTATCTCATGAATGGTTGCTATATTGTTGGTTACATCTTTTCGTCTGTGTAGTTGTTTATATTCAAGTTCAAGGAGGTAGATAAAGCACAATTTTTTAAGAGGTTTAGGTCTCACTTTGCAATTTTCTTATTCTCGGTTAGTCTGCCTGTCTAAAAATTTATACTACAAGTTTCTGTACTGTATAGAATTAATCGGTAAAGTAAAATGATAACAGAACTGTCGAATACTAAAGTCATTGGACGCTAAAGGGCGATAAATAAGGGGCTTAGGAAGTCAAGAAAAAAATTGGCTTTGCTCATTTTGTTTAACCTAATTGGTCATGTATAGCCCACAGTTAGCTGTTGTCGAAATTGGATTATCTTTTTCGATGCTGTTACCCGGTTTTTACTGGACCATTGTATGCATCTAAAGAGTCTATTATACTCCAGGTGTTCACATGGATCATATTCCTTCAAAAATATAAAGTAAAGATAGGAAAGGACAAAAAAGAATTGAAAAAACCTTTTGTTTTAATCATTTGTAAAAAACGCATTTTGTTAGCTCGGTTTTTTTGATGCAAGGCATGAGAGGGGAAGGAGGAGAGAGTTTTTGCATCTGTTTTGATCATCGCTGCTGTTGTCGCATCACCTATTCATTTGCTTCATTTGTAACAGCACTGATTGGGTTTTTTCTTTTTTTTTTTATACATTTTGGGTTTTTCCTTTTGTTTAATTATTATTTAATCACAACCAGTGAGGAAATAGTGGGATTTGAAATTTTTGTAGTTGGTCATCTTGCAAGATCGGCGCAATTCGTAATTTTTTTTTTGCATTTTCATATTCACTAAAAATTTTTTGCAGGTGTCGCTAAATTGTTTTACCTAAAAAGTAGATATTGATTTAATTTAGTTTGGTCTGTTCGTCTGTTTTTAGCATTTTCACAACTTTGCCAATGTTCCAATGTGTTAAGACTGCTCTCAAAGTACGATTACGATTAATTGGTTAAAACAAAGGAAAAAAAAAACTAAATTTTTGCTTATTAATTTGATTGAAGTGTTACTGGTAGATAGCACCACTAATTTAATAAATAGGGAGGGACATAAGCAGATGTGAATATAAATATTTATATATAATATTTTATATAATATATAAATGTAAGCATATATAAATAGGTAAGTCTATTTTTACAATAGAAAAATTGGCTCGATTATTGTTAATGGAAAGAACCGCTAATTATCGCTATGATTATAGGGGAGATTTTTTAATCCGTTAAATTAGATATCGAAAGCTTCATAAATATAGGTTCACTTTCCGGTCATCGGAAATGGTCATATCTACGTATCAGCGCTTTTTTTTTTCAAGCATTTCTCAAGTCTCTGTTAAAATAGCAGTTTTCTGTCGGACGACTGTCTTTTTTTGGTGGGGGGAGGGGGATTGTTGTCAAAATTACTGGCTCTGAATTAGACTTGATTATATTCGCTCCATTAAAGTAGATTAAAGCTTTACAGCTGGGGCTTTTTCTTTCTTTTTTTTTATTTTGGTTTTTTAAAGTACTCTTTTTGAGGTTCTTAACATTTACCGAACCACGGGAACATTTGTTTTTCTCTTGATAAAAAAATCGTTTTTTTTGTTTTCGTGCTGCGCAAATTGCTCATCTAGAAGGTGTTTCAGATTTAAAGTTGAATCACGGTTCGGTGGAGAGAAAACAGAGGCGCCGACTTTGGAGGTTGATGTTGGTGATGGATTGGAAATTGTTTGTCCGAGGAAGATCAGAAATAAACCTTATGAATATTTGAAAATTCATATGGTATAACTGGTTTTCTTTTTGTTTAGTTATAAAACACGAGTTACAAAAATGAATTTGTACATACAAATTATGAATTCCGGATGCTAAATGAATTCTGGAAACTCATAATCAATACGATTTGATTTATATAAAAGTGTGAACAGCGATACGGCATATTTTTAGGTGTCTGACATGGCATTTCTCAGTTGCCAACTAGAATCACGGTCTAAAGAATTCGTTGTCTGCGATGGGCCAAATATGTCTACTCATAAAGTGGTGTTTCGGAAATTTTCACCAGTACCAAATGCATTTGAATATTTCCCTGGGCGTACTTATTACTTAATAAGTAAGCTCTGCTTTATTCAGAGGTTCAGAGGACATTTTAAGTTGGCATTCTCTGAGGAAGTTTTCTTCAAATGTTTTTTTTTTTATTGTGTCTTTCATTTAACAGTAATTCAGCCACCTCTGATGGGACCTGGGAAGGGTTGAACAACACTAGTGGTGGATTATGTATTTCAAGAAATATGCGATATCAGATATATGTACGCTTGAATGATCGTTCAAGATCACCGAGCAGTGGCGAACATTCAGTGTTTTCGAATGGCAAGTGATTTACGCAAAAGATTTTTGTAGAATAAGTGATGGGTAGAAGAGGAGTATTCTTTGGAAATTTGTTTAAAATTTTTTTTTTTTTTTGTAGATATATTAAGTGATTCAAGACCGATTAGTGAGGAAGAGACTGCAAAATTGCGTCACTATTCCAGAAGTCGAAATAGTGCTTCAGAAAAAAAACCAGAACAGTCAGATGAAGTATGCTTCAATTGTATTTAATTTTGATTGAATCACCTCTTTTTGGTATCTACCTTTTTTCTGTTTTGAACTGTAAATAAACATGACAAATGTTCTATGGATAAAGGAGAAACTGGATTTAGACCTTTCAACTCTTGTTGCTTTTTTGTATGAAGTCAATTTTCTTTAGAGCTTTAAAATTGATGGATCTATTGACTTTGCATCAAAATACGGAATTCACTTATCACAGTTAAAATACGTGAGCAAGTTGGCTAGCGGAGGAGCTGAAGGGCCATTTTCTTTCCAGAAGAACGAAGAGGAGAGACGAGTGATTTTTTTTATATACAGAATGTTGTTTAGTGTTCTGATTTTCTGACATTACAATATGTTTTTTAATAAGCACTGTGTGTCATCATTCTATTGTTTAGGGAGCTACAACTGAAGCATCTGATCACGTATCAAAATTATCGGATAAAGCGTTGAGGACGAATAGATTTGAAACGTTCCTAGAACCTGCATCATTGCCGCTTTCGTCCGATGCAACCACATCGGATAAGTCGGTTAAGAGAGGCAGGAGTGAGGATCGAACGTTGAGGCGTGAAACATATGATGACCCTTTCAACGAAGTTTTTGTTAGAGGAGAAGATTATG